ATCCTTCCCCCACTGAAACCCCCTTCTCCAACCACCCCCCTACAGTCCTTATACCTCTCACCTCAAAAAACCAACATTCATCCACCCCTTATTACCCAAACCCTCAAGAAGAACTCCTTGAACTTGAAACCTTTCTTCATAAGGAAATTTGGGACATTTGGAATCACACAAATTTTCAATCCAAAAATGACTCCCATCTCAACCAATCCAGCCACAAGTTCTCTGTTAGCTACCTCTCGGATGAAGATTTGCCCATCTCAAAAGATCCTCAATCTCCTCAGAACCACTCAATTCTACAAGAAAAAGAAGTTTTCACCACAGTTAGCAGGAGAACTTCAAAAAGGTTACAAGAAAAACTTTCAGCAAGCAGTCCTTTCCCAAACAGTTTTTAAATGAATTGCTTATTTTGGAATATTAATGGCATAGCCTCTAAACTCCAGAGACTAGCCATCCTCATCCAGCAACACAAAGTATCGTTTGCTTTCATCATTGAACCCAAATCCTCCATCAAGAAAATCATCAAGTTCCAACTAGAACTTGGATTCACTAACTAAATCAGCACTTCCAACAACAAAATCTGGTTAATGTGGAAGGACACCTGCTTCAACTACATAAACCACTTTGAAACAGATCAAATCCTCACTGCTCACCTAACTTGCCACATTTCAAACCTGGAAATCTTCATCAGTGGCATCTATGGAAAACACACCATTGAAGAAAGAAAAGATCTTTGGGGTTCAATCATGGCTCACAGCAAAAAAGAGACTCAGGCCTGGATTCTTGGAGGGGATTTCAACACCATCACCTCTTTGGACCACTATAAAGGCAAAAGCTCCCCCAATCTGCAAGGTATCCAAGAATTTGATCACTGCATCATGGAAAGTGGTCTCATTTCTCCCCCATTCTCAGGCAACCCCTTTACATGGACTGGAATCAGATCCTTGGGCAGGGTCTGGAAAAGGCTAGACAGGGTTTTTGTTAACAACACCTTTCTAGACAATTTCCAAGAGATTAACTCCATGCATATTTCTAGGGGAACTTCAGATCACTGTCCTATTTTGGTAAAAGCTTCTAATCCCACCTTTAATGGTCCAAGACCATTCAGATTCCTCAACTGCTGGCCAAATCACCCTACCTTTAAAGCTCTCATAAGCAGAAACTGGGGCAAATACTCTGGAGGAGGCATGAGGGGTCTTATGAATAAATTGTTCAATCTTAGAAAGGAACTTCATGCTTGGAACGGGACAGTCTTTGGGAATATTTTCAGCAAAACAAAAGATCTTGAATCCTCAGTGCTTGAAGCAGAACTTCTTTATGATGAAAATCCCTCTACTGAAAATAGATCCCATCTTCATCATCAAAAAGCACTTCTTATTCAAGCAACAAATAATGAGTTCACTTACTGGAAGCAGAAAGCAAGCATCAAATGGATTAGAGAAGGAGACTGTAACACCTCCTTTTTTCATTCTATTGTTAAAGAAAGAAGGATTTCTCAAAAGATTCATAAAATCAGGTCTGGGGATGGTCAGTGGATTCAAGACAAGGATGACTTGCTTAAAGAGGCCAACTTCTATTTCCAGCAACTCTACTCTAAAAAGGACAGTGAAAATACTGAGGATTTCCTCTCACACATCCCAAACCTCCTCACTGTTGATGACAACAGTCTGCTTACCCAACTCCCTAATGAGAAAGAAGTCAAAGATGCCATCTGGAATCTGGACCCCCAAAGTGTTGCAGGCCCTGATGGATTCACTGGAGAATTCTACAAAAGTTGCTAGGATATTATCCAGGAAGATGTGGTAAAAGCAGTTCAGGAATTCTTTCTAGGAATCCCTACTCCTAAAAGTTTAAATGAATGCTCCATTATCCTAATCCCAAAGAAAGATAATCCCATCACCTTTGAAGATTTCAGGCCTATTTGTCTTTCAAATTTCATAGCCAAAGTCAATACTAAAGTTATATCTCAGAGATTAAGAGACTTAGTTCCTAAATTAATCTCTGAGGAACAGGGTGGCTTTGTCAAAGGAAGACAGATCCATGACCAAATTCTGATTGCCCAGGAGATCATCCAGAACTTGGACTACAAGACAAGGGGAGGCAATATTGCCATTAAGCTGGATATGTCCAAAGCTTTTGAAAGGGTATCTTGGGACTATTTACAAGCCATTCTAGGGAAACTGGGGTTTGATCATAAATTTATCAATCTGATCCTCAATAATCTTAAAGACACTACCCTCTCCATCAACATAAATGGCTACCCTTCCAAACCCTTCCAACCCAAGAGAGGGCTCAAACAAGGAGACCCACTTTCTCCTCTTCTTTTCATTTTGGCAGCTGAAGGATTTAGTAGGGGCCTGCACTACAGAGTCAACACTCTAAAGATTGAACCTTTTAACATGGGGAGACACTCACAAATCATCTCTCACCTAGCCTTCGCAGATGACCTTCTGATCTTTCTTAAAGGAACAGCTCAAAATTTGGCTAGATTCTCAAATTTCCTAAAAGCTTATGAAGATGCTTCAGGGCAGACCATAAATCTTCACAAAAGTTTTTTCTACCCTCCAAAGAAAACCCAAGTGGCACAAATCAACAGAATGGGAAATTACTTGGGCATGAAGAGAGGTTCCCTACCCTTCAAATACCTGGGAACCCAAATCCACAAAGGAATCAACATACTCAAATATTGTACTGATTTGCTCAACCACTTTGATAACAAGCTTAAAGGCTGGTACAAAAAATTCTTATCACAAGGAGGGAGAATGATTCTAATTAAGCATGTCCTTAGTTCTATCCCTCTACATCTCCTTGGCTCTTCTAAACTCCCCAAGAGTGTTATCAACAGCCTCCACACTAAGATGAGCAATTTTCTCTGGGGCAACAAAGAAGGGAAAAATCATTATCACTAGAAGAAGTGGGCTGCCCTTGTTGAAACACGGGCTTGTCACGTTTTCGTACTAAAGCCGTGTTCGTTTTTGTAACAGGTTTTGATAATGCCAAACCGCCGTGATCAAGTCGAACATTGAATATACAAGGCGAAGAACGGAGATAAGAGCAAGAGCTAAACGAAGACCAAGAACGAAGACCTTAATCATAGTATTGAGTCGGTCTTTATTGTGATCAAGACCGACCCAATCTTTACACCTTGGCTCTTTAGGCTAAAAACTCTCATCGCATTTCTTACATCATAAAAATGGTTTTAAACTTGTTTAAGTCATTAAAAACACTTGGTGTTCACCCAAACCAAAAACCAAGCCATCCAGTGTTCGGCTCTCAGAAACCAGCGTTCGGCTTTCGGTTGTCGGGTTTGGTTTTTGGCATCCGAACCAACCAAGTGGTTTTCAGC